TCCAAAAAGCAAAACCGAGACCCAGAGAGCGAAGGGGTCTGCCTGAGGACGTGCGGAGACGGACTCGGAGCGCCGTGCCAGGTTGGGTTGGCTGGGTCTGCAGAGGGGGAGGCTCAGAGCGAAGCTTCGCGTCCACTCTGCAGCCTTTCGCTGAGCCTGTTTTCCCAGGCTGTAAGCCAGGAGCGCGCGCTAGAGGGCCATAGGCTCCCGCATTTCTGGGGAAGCCTATCGGGCAACAACCCCACTGAGCCCTTGGGCCTCAGCCTCCCAGGCCGCCGGCCTCTCCGGCCCCAGCCAACTAGACCCCACCCAAGCCTCAAGGGTTGTCACGGTCACCCCAGGACCCAGCTGCTCAGACGGCCTCTGCGGATCCTCCTCCCCCTCCGGCCCCACCCCAGCAGGGCGGACTGCTGGGAAACAAAAGGAGGGGGCCGGGCGGGCGGGCAGGTGAGGAAGGAGGGGCAGGATCGATACATCAGAGAGATGAGATCACAGCCCAGCAGCCACGATGGGGGATGGGGGCCCAGCATGGCTTTGATTGGCCCATAACCGGTGGGAGTGGGGGGCGGGGAGGCGGTGATGCTGCTCGAGTGTCACACTGTAGTCGCCATTGTGAGTCCATGTCCATGGGTCTGGGGTGAATGAGTGCAGAGGGCGTGGCCTTCGGGTCTGTGTAGAGGGGTAAGGCTTGTCCGGGTTGGGAGCCCCTATCTGGACTTGTGTGTGCTGTGTCTCTAGTATTGTGGTTTACATGCATGTGGACTGCGTGAGGGTCCGGTTGTGTGTATATTGTGTGCAGATGTGAACACGCAGAGGGGTTCTGGGTCCCCCCCAGGTATATGGTTGGGGGTCCATGTGCATTTCAGTGTGGGTGTGTAGGGTCCTAGTGTGTGTCCATGTGTATGTAGGGGTTTTGGTGTGTGTCCAAGGGGTGTGTGTTCAACTTTGGCACCCCCAGGCTGGGGAAGGGGACAGAGTTAGGAGAGAGCTAACACCCACCCTGGGTCCCCTCTGGGGTCTCCCTGTGGTGCTGTCCCTGGGGCCATCTCCTCCAGGAAAATGCAATGGCAGTTTGTTCCTCCCAAGTTCCTGAGTTAGGGTCTTTCTGGGTCGGAGCTTTTAAGGTCTAGGCTCCGGTGTCATCACACAGAGGACTTGGTCACATGACATCATCCATATGTTTCCTTTCGGTCCCTAGGAAAGAACGGCAGGAACAGAGCCCAATGGCCAGAATTCAAATCCTGGCATCAGACAAACACTAAGTTTATAGTGTGCCCTTAGACAAGTATCCAATCTCTGAAGCACCATTTCCTCTCAGTAAACATCACCTAACTCCTGAGTTGCTGGGAAGCTTCAATGATCTTTATCAACATCTGGCACGTTGTAGAATATACCAAACTCCTATGTATCCTTCAAAACCCAGCTTCAACGTCCCCTCTTCCAAGAAGCCTACCTGGATCCCCCCCAACACTCCAAGCTCTGCCTCCACCTCTGGGCTTCCCCCAGCTCTGGATCCCTCCTCTGGTCCCATCCAGACTCCAAGGTGCTGCAGAGCTGGGGGTCTGGATGCTGAGAGCAGTGTTTCAGATCTTCTGTGATGTAAATAGACCCTGGGTTAAATGAACTTGGGTGCGTGTGCGCTGCTGACAGCTCTTGATGCCACAGAGATTTATTGGCAAACAGCTAGAGGGTGGGATGGGGAGGGGAGGGCATCAGGACTACTTCCAGCCTGATTTTGGGCTGGGATCAGGGCAGGAAGCTGTGCTTCCATGAGAAACAGTTTAGATCCCAATTTTGGCAGAAACCTGAGCTGTGTTGGGGACCCAGGTCCTAGCAGCGTGGACACCAAGTTCTAGGACACAGGAAGCTCCGTCTCCAGCCAGCCACTGGGGAGAGCCAGGGTGTCTCTTTCTCTGCCTGGCCTTGCTTGGCCTGGCATGACCAGGAGAGAAGAAACTGGGGCGCTGGAAGGAGGCTCACCCTGCACAGGGCCACGGGGTCACAGGCCCCAGGGATTAGAGGACGTAGGTGGCCTAGAAGGACCTCAGACAGTTCAGAAAAGTGGAAGGAAGGAGGTTCCCCCCTCCCCCAGCTTCTCTAAGCCATCTCACCCCAGCCAAAGCCAGGCCCAGGGGGGCCTGCCCACACCCCACTTCAGGGGGTAGGAAATCTCCCTGAAGGCGCCTGGCATGCCTGCATTCTGTCCCCCAAAGGCGGAAGGGTGCTGGTGTGTCCGGGGCCATGGTGGTGGCCCGTTTGGAGTGTCGGATGCCCATGGTGAATGCCGGGGCTCTGGCTTTGGTCACCGTGACCCGCTCGGGGCTGTGGGTGCCAGGGCCAGGAGTCTCATCTAGGGGATGTGGGGCCCGGGGCCGCCCCAGCATGGTGAAGGCAGGCGGGCGCTGACGGTAGGCATTGGGGTCTGAGCTCTCATACTGGCCTGGGCCTGGTATCTCAGTGGGGTCCTGTGGGGGGCGGATAGGAGGTGTGCGGCCCACCACTGTGTAGCTGGGGCTACTGGGCTTGATGAAGATCTGGGCACCCCAGAGAGACGGCAGAGTGTAGGCATTGGGGGCGGGGGCTGAGGTGTCCAGGGGCGGTGGACGCAGGCGGGAGCCCAGGGTGAAAGCCGGGGGGGTCCGCTGGCGCACGGGGGCCACCTTCTCCGGGCTGTAGGCCCCAGGGCCGGGTGTCACCTCCAGACCTGCGAGAATGGGGCAGGAGGTTTGGCAATGGACAGAGTGCTCCCCTGATCAAAGACCTTACATGGCTCCCCCTTGCCCACATGCATCCCGGAGTTCACAGCACTTCTGAAGAAGCCCCGAGTTACTTCTCCCTCTTCCCTACCTTGCCACACAGTGTGTTCTCTTTCAAGCCTCCAGGCCTTTGCCCAAGCTCAACCCGCTGCCAGGCAAGCCTTCTGTTTCCCATTCTTATCCTTCCAGAGCCCAAAAGTCCCTCCTCCCGGCTGCCTTTGCCACAGCCCTTCTAGGGGTCCCCTGGCCTGATTCTTCCCTTCTCCCCAGACATGGCCACACTGAAGTGGGATGGTCCCCACCTAAGTCTAACTCCACCATTCTGAGATCTCATAAAAAAGCAAGGACCTGTCAAATCTACTTCAACTCCCAGCAGTTGGCCTAATATATGTTTGGGGGGATGAGTGAATCAAGGATGGGTGGTGAATGGTTGGGTGAGTGTGAATGAGTAGATGAATGGATCCGTGGGTATATAGATAGATGGATTGATAGATAGATCCTGGATGGATTGATCAGTGGATGGGAAAATGGATCAATAGATGGATTGGATATGAACAGGTGAATGGGTGGGTAGATTGATGAGTAGATAGCTGGGCAGATGGAGGGATGAATCTGAGTGAATGAGTAGATGAGTGATAGGTGAAAAGATGAAAGGGTGGGTGGATAGGAGACTGGAGTCAGGTGATTAAATCTTTAGGTGACAGTAAGCTGTTTGCAGCCTGTGAAGGGGATTTCCACATTTGCCACAGTCCCCACTGCACCCTGTTGTCTCCTGATGCCGAGGATGAGCCCCAGATGCCCAGGTCACCATCACCTTGGCCCACTTCACTCATTCAAGTTCTCTTAGGGCCCCCAGCCCCTCTTCTGAAGTCTTCCATTTCATCAAGAACTTGGGGATGGCAGGGGGAGAAGAAGACAGAGGCAGGACAGTCACTGAGTCCCTGAAGGGACAGGGTCCTCTTGGGGTAGCACAGGCCAGATACTCACCTCGAGATTTGCCCCTGCCCTGCATGGAGTAGGCAGGAGCGCAGCTTCGGCCAAACCGGGTGACTTTTGGGTCCAGGAAGTAGACTGGCCCAGGGCTGGAGTCCTGTGGAGAAGCTGGAGGGAGGAGTCCAGGGTCCTGAGTACATCCCTGAGGGCCTGCTGCCCCCACTCAGTGCCCCTGGTTACCCCTGAGGCCCTTCCACCCTCCACACACCCACAGCCCCACCATGGAGAGCAGAGACCTCAGCCTCCTGAGGTCTGATTGCCCTGACCGGGAACCTGGATCTCAGCTTGACTTTGTCTTGAGCACTCCTATGCCTTCCTGATCAACGCTGTCCACCCCTCCACCTCTCCTCTGCCATGAGCTAGGGGAGCAGTTCTAGAGAAACCAGCTCCTGAGTTGGTTAGAATTGTACATAAAGTGAGAGGAACTAGGCTCTGGCTAAGGTTCTGAGGAGGGTCCTTTTAATGCCTGGGCTCATTGGCACGTGGCCAGCTTAAGGGAAGGGCTCTAGGTCACATTTAAATCCCAGCAAGGCCTCTGTGAGCTGTGTCCTTGGGCCTGTCAAAGCCTCTTTTTCCTCAGTCGTAGGATGAGAAGCTTGACAAGTGGCAGCATCCATGGGAGGAGTGGTCCAGAGCCTGGCTCTTAGTAATTGGGACCAATGACTGTGATCGTCATTACTGTTTATAAGCACAACCAGATATAAGTGTATAGTCGGTTTGACAAGTATTCATTGGTTTGCATGTGTGTGTGCCCACAAATGGCACCATGCACACCCTGAAGCATGTTCTTGATAAATAGGCACATCCCAACCCATCTCATTTCCCACCTCCAGGCTTCTGCCTCTGCTACAAACTCTGCCTGGAGTCCCCTTCTCCTCCTGGGGCCTCCAGTGAACTCCTACTCATCCTATAAAGCCCAGATCCCATGCCTCCACCTCCAAGAAGTCCCTGAATATTCAGCAAAGTCTACACTAACCACCCCCACCCTGATTTCCCAGGTGTGTCCTAGAAATAGAGTCGGGGACACAGGTTCCTCAGGGTCATAGGCTAAGTTTTTAACCTTCTGGGTGACACTGACTCCCTCACTTGCCTTCCGGGCCCCCTTGCACTTCTTGAGTTCTCTCTCTTTTGGTTCGGGATGTTTGCTGATTCTGAAAGTGTGTCTGCCAGCTGCTCCCTCCCACCAAGCCTCTGTCCATGCGAATCAAAGTCCCCACACGGGACCCTTCTGGGCCCTGACCCTGGCCTACCTGGGACCTCAGAGCAGCTCTAGAAAATGGGCTGATGGGGTTTGTGGTCCCTGATATGAAGGGTACAGGCTTGCTGGAGGAATGATGGAATGGACAGCTGGGAGCCACCCGCATCCCTGCACTTGGTGTTCCCGCACACATTCTGGCCGGGAGAAAAGTCTACACTAGGACTGGCCACCCTGGTGCAATCATGGTTGATGTAGCCGACAGTGGATGGCAGGGCGTACAAGCCTGGCCGGGACCCTGTGACCTGACGTCACAGAGGTCAGGTCACCCGCTGACTAGGTGAGCCCCACTTCCTTCGCTCTCGCCACCCCTGGCTTGACAAAGGATTTTCATTCTACTCTCGCCACACGTTGTGAGGTAAGCAAGGCCCGGAGAGCCCCTGGTTGTGGATGGAGCAGCCGAAGCGGGCGCTCACTCTCCGGGGCCTCCCTCCTGCGCGCTGACCAGATACCCAGCATTGTAGCTACTCTTAAGGCATTTAACCCTCACTGAATAAACGTCTCCAGGCGCCTAACGTTTGTTCAATCCTGACAACTGTGTGTGGAAGACGTCTATTGTCATTGTTTCCAGAGGAGGAACCTGAGGCACAGAGCAGTCACGTGGCAAGAAATGTGCTAAGTGCAGCAGGCAAATGCCGGTCCTGACCACCACACGATTCTTCCACTCTCCTCCTCCGCAAGGAAGCAGGACCAGAGAGGCACAGCAGCTTCCTGAAGCCCCACAGCAACCCTCCTGGATTCCCGCCTCACTCATTAGGGCCTAGATCTATCCAGTGAGACAAAGCTCCCTGGCCGGGGGTGGTGGTGGGGGATTTGGGGGTTTCAGGAGGCCTCTCAGAACCCCGTCTCCCACCCCCACCGCCCTGCCCGCCGCTGGCCTTACCCTGGCTGGGCCTCCGGAGGAGGGAGTAGGCAGGACTGGCCACCCTGGTGCAGTCGTGGTTGATGTAGCCGACAGTGGACGGCAGGGCGTACAAGCCTGGCCCGGACCCTGTGACCAAAGCCCCCAGATCACGGCCTGGGCCTAGGTCCCCTGAAACATGGTGGGGAGCTCAGGGCCCAGCCCTGTGCCCCCCACCCAGGCTCCCAGCCACCCCCCATGGCAGGGGTGGGGGGAGCAGGGGCTCCTGCTGCGAACAAGCATTGTGAGTCAAACATGCGTCACAGGGGGAAGGGCTCCGGCGCCAACAGCCTCCTCCCACCTAAGGGCACAGGGGATGGGATGACTGAGACCTAGACTCAGAAACGTGCTGTCACAGGTGGGGACACTGAGGCCCAGACACAGAGAGATCCCGCTGCAATGTTCGAGGGCCTCTGCAAGAACGTCAGCGCTGCAAGAGCCAGGAAACCCAGCCATGCAGCCTGACTCCAGATGTTTTGTTACAGACCGGGAAACTGAGGCACGATCCAGGACCCAACCCGAGATCCCACAATGAGCGTCACAGTCGGAACGTTCAGCTCACTGACTGATACACCACAAACGCCTCCCAGTGCTTTGCCTGGGTCCGTCCCCCCTGGGCCCTCGGCTGTTTGGTTCATGGCTGTGCCCTCAGCCCCTAGAAGGGTACGTGGCCCATAAAATGCTCAGCTCTTGGTGGGTGGGGGCCTATGCAGGGTCCTGGAAGCACTATGTTCACACCCTCCTATTGGGCAGAAAACTAAGGTTTGGGGAAGGGCAGGGACACCTCAGGGGCTCCCAGAAGGGGTCCCACCACCACGGCCCCCCTCCTCCACGGCCTGCATGTACCGTTCTCCAAGGTGGCCATCCTGCAGGTCTTCCTCAGGCCGGTCTCTGGGATCTGGCACTCTGTGCACCGCCGACCCAGGGGCGCTGGGGTCTGCCGCGGAGTGGGGTCGCAGCTGAGGGTCCCCATGGTGAGCAGGGGTGGGCTGCAGGGAGCCCAGGGCTGGGCAGCGCCGACACTCGATGCTGTCTCCTCAGCCGCGGTGGCTCTGGGTGGCAGGGTCCAGCACCGTCCCCAGTCCTCGAGGCTTCTGCCGGTGTTGGCAGCGCCCTGGCCTCACCACACCCTCCCAGGGACCGCACAGACGGCCCCTTGTCCTTCAGCAGGGAGTCTTGGGGCCCTGGCCCAAGCGGGCTGGTCGGCAGACGCTGGCCTGGAAGTGGGGCTGGGATCGAGTGTCGGCCAGATGGCTGGACAGTCCAGGAAAGAGTCCGGTGTCAGCAGAGCGGGTCCCCTGGGAGATGGTGGAGCTGGGCAGCTGGGGCCAGAGCAGGCCCCGGGGGAGCTGGAGCCACAAACACAACACCCACAGCCTTGTAGGGGGAGGGACTGGTGAGGTCATGGACTGCATGGCCCCATTTCTACACCTGGGGAAACTGAGGCACTGCCCAAAGTCATACAGCAGGTCTGCCACTCTGGGCCAGGAAGCTTACCTCCTTCCTTCCTTCCTTCCTTCCTTCCTTCCTTTCTTCCTTCCTTCCTTTCCTCCTCCAACAGTTACTTAATGAGCAACGACTGTGTACTAGGTTTTGTTTGGGTTGGTGAGGACACAACAGGACAGACAGACAGGGAGTTTGGGTTGGTGAGGACACAACAGGACAGACAGACAGGGAGCTGATGTTCTTGGAAGGAGAAAGAGAAAATAAACAATAGCCCAGCCGGCATGGCTCAGTGGTTGACCAGGAGGTCACAGTTCAATTCCCCGTCAGGGAACACGGTTGCAGGCTCAATCCCCAAGGTGGGGCGTGCAGGAAGCAGCCAATCAACGATTCTCTCTCATCATTGATGTTTCTATCTCTCTCTCCCTCTCCCTTCCTCTCTGAAATCAATAAAAATATGTTTTAAATGACAAATTCATAGATGAGCGTAGTATATCACAAGGTGTTAAATGTGTTGTAAAACACAGAGCAGGGTCAGGAGTCCGAGATGGCAATGAGGGAGCCGCCGAGTGCTATTAGGGTCGGATGAGAGGTCACTGCGTGGAGAAGGTAAAAGAAGAGGATACAGAATGGCTGTGCAAAGGCTCTGGGGCAGGAGCAAGGACGGCGAGGAGGCAGCATGGTCCTCCAGAACAGCCACTGCCTCCCAGGAGCCCACAAGGATTTACTCCAGCCCAATCTAGAGTTAATCTAGAGTAACATTCCTGCTCACAGAAGGCTGCTACTATGTCAGGCTACAAGACAGGGCTCAGGAAAACTTGGCTGAACAGAATACAATCCTGTCTCTTCCATGGCATCCTTGTTTGTGGCTGTATTGTCGGGCCCTTTTACACTGTAATGTTTTAACAGCTTTATAGAGTTACTAGAGGCCCAGTGCATGAAATTTGTGCATGGGTAGGGTCCCTAGGCCTGGCCAGTGATCAGGGCCAATCTGTGGGGTGACCAGCGGGGCGATGGGGTTGGGGGGCCCTGCTGGCACCCGCCTTAGTCAGCCTAGGGCCTACTGGCTAGGGGCAGCTCCTGCATTGAGCATCTGCCCCCTGGTGGTCAGTGTGCATCATAGCGACCAGTCATTACACCAGTTGTTCTGTGGTTCAGTTGATTTGCATGTTAGACTTTCATTATATAGGATAATTCACATCCCATACAATTCACTCTGCAATGTAATTTTAATGCATTCTATAATTTTAAACTTGTTAATAAAAATGTTAAAATCAATAAAATATATTTTTTAAAAAAAATGCTTGTATTAGAAAAGAAAAAAAAAAATCTTAAAATCAATGACCAAAGGTTCCACCTTAAAAATTTTGAAAAAGGCCCTGGCTGATGTGTCTCAGTTCGTTGGAGTGTCCTCATCCCATACACCAAAGAGTGGCAGGTTTGATTCCTGGTCAGGGCACATGCCAGGGTTGCAGGCTCAATCCCTGGTGGGGGCATGCAGGAGGCAACCGATTAATGTTTCTCTCTCACATCAAGGTCTTTCTCTCTCTCTCTTTCTCTCTCTCACCCTTCCTCTCTCTATGAAATCAATTTTTTAGAAGTTAGAAAAAGAAGAGTAAGTGGAAGGAAGGGGATCAAAAACATAACAGCAGAGCCCTAGACAATTGCTCAGTGGTTAGAGCGTCGGCTCAAGGACTGAAGGGTCACAGGTTCAATTCCAGTCAAGGCCACATACCTTGGTTGCAGGTTCAATCCCCAGCCCTCGCTTGGGGCTTGTGTGGGAGGCAACCAATCGATGTGTGTCTCACACATCAATGTTTCTCTGTCTCTCCCCCTCCCATCCACTCTCTCTTAAAAAATCAATAGGAAAAATATCCTTAGGTGAGGATTAACAAAAACACACAAAACAAACAAACAAACAAAAATGTAACAGCAGAAATGCATGAAATAGGAAATGTAGAAAGAATTAACTACCCTCCCCCACACAAAAAAAAAAAAAAAAGCTGGTTCTTTAAAAGAATCAACAAATTTTATAAACCTCTAGCCAGACTGATCAAGGGAACAAGAGGAAGGGATACCACATCAGGAATACAAGAGGCACATCCCTGCAGACCCACACATGGGAGTGAGCACACGCCCACATGCACATTCTCTATGAGCATCAGCTTTCATTATCACAGCATCTCACTGAGGAAGGCGCTGTTCCTCCGTCTGTGGTTACAGACGGAGGAACAGGCTCAGAGAGCGGACATAACATGTGTAGGTCCCTCAGTAACTCATCAGCAGCACTGGGACTTGAACCCGGGACTCTGTAATCAAAGCTGAGAGTCAAGGCTTCTTCTAGGTTCTAATCCCAGCTCAGCTTTCTGGTTGTGCCCCAAAGCCACGGTGGATTGCTGTGGCCCTAAGAATAAAAGCCAAGTCCTCACTGTACACAAGGCTCTCTTGTCCCCTCTGCCCTCGCCTCCACCCCTCAATCCTCGCTCCTCCACTCCCACCACGTCAGCTGGCTTGTTATTCCATGAACCACTAAAGCAGTTCCCACCTCGGGGCCTGTACCTGTCCTCCCTCCACCTGGATTTCTCTACTTGTCCTCCCTCCACCTGGATGCCTTGACCAGCAAATGAGCCCACAGTTGGCTCCACCCTCAGTCCCCTGTGGGCCCCCCACATTGGACGGGCCATTTGATTTTTTCCAGAAGCAGCAGAAACTCCAGAGCTGTGGACAGAACTAGGCACTGAGGAGGGAGATGACAGAAAAATACCCCAAACTCTCTCTCTCCTCCTGCCAGTCAGAGCCTCCCAAGGACCAACACTGGCCAGAAGTGCAGGAGCCCAGGGACCCCACCACTGAGGTCAGCCAGGCACAGAAAAGACAATTGTCCCTCTGCAGGTTGCTCCCCGAAGCCAGCCCAGGCTGCATCCGCCAGCATGGAGTGCAGATCCCTGGAGACACTGGTTCCAGCCGGAACTCGGACCCAACTGCCTCAGCTTCCCACTGAAGGGAAACTACGACCGCCTTCCAGGACTCAGCTGGGGCGTGGCCCTCATTGCCTCGGTTTCCCCACTGTAACTCGGGAAGGAACCAAGAGCAAGGGCAGCGTGGAATGGCCACCTGAGCCTGTGAAGGGCAGCTTTGAGGACCTGACGGCCCGGCCACCTCACCAGACAGAGACCAGCCCCACTTCAGTCCTCGGGTCCTCCACTGATGGCGCCCGATGACACCCCTTCTCTCTGTGGCTCACATTTAGCTCAGAGCTCTTCCCCAGCTGCCAAAGAAATGGCATGCAAATGAGCTGCTATTTCACTTAGTTACACATGTGCAAACAAGCCATGGTGGGGGGTTTTATTATTGATTTCAGAGAGAGGAAGGGGGAGAGAGAGAGAAACATCGATGAGAGAGAATCATCTATTGGAACGGACCCGGAAACCCGAGCATGTGCCTTGCCTGGGAATCAAACCGTGACCTCCTGCCTCATGGGTCAACGCTCAACCACTGAGCCACACCTGCCGGGCAAACAAGCCTTGCTTTTCATTCAGTCTGACTGAGAGCTAATCTGAGGAAAAGACTAAAGGAACCTGGATTGGGAGTGAGAGTGTGAGGATCCAGGGGAGGAACGGCACCTCCCTGGGCCTCAGGATGCTAAAGGATTGATACAGGTGGTGCTCCCTAAATTGTAGCCTTATCCTAGTTACTAACTCAGCCAGGATGTATCTGTCTTCCCACTATGACCGGGCACTGGCAGGTGCTGGGGAAACGGGTATGAACAAAACACGTAAACTCCCTTCCTCACCGTTTTGTTGCGAGTGGCGAATAACTGAATTTCAGAATACTTTGGAAGGTAAGGAGTGCCGTGACAAAAGATCACGGACAAGGAGGGTTGGAGGTGTGGGGAGTTTGCAGTTTGAAATGGGTGGTCAGGCCCTGGCCGGTTTGGCTCAGTGGATAGAGCGACGGCCTGCGAACTGAAAGGTCCCAGGTTCGATTCCGGTCAAGGGCACATGCCCGGGTTGTGGGCTTGATCCCAGGTGGGGCTTGCAGGGGCAGCCAATCAATGCTTCTCTCTCATCATTGATGTTTCTGTCTCTCTCTCCCTCTTCCTTCCTCTCTGAAATCAATAAAAATATTTTTAAAAAAAGAAAAGAAAGAAATGGGTGGTCAGGGGAAGCCTCGCTAGGAAGGTGGCATTGGATAAGAGACTGAAAGAGGTGAGGGGGGCCGGGGCGTCTGGAGAAAGAGCTTGCTGAGCAGAGGTCACACAGCCCCTCAAAGGCCCTAAGGCTGGACGGTGCCTGGCCTGTTGGAGGAACAGCCGGAAGGCGCAGGTGGCTGGAACGGAATGAGTGAAGGGGTGAGAGGGAGGAAGTGAGGGCGAGGAGGTGACGGCGCAGGTCGTGCAGGATCCTTTTGGCGCGGGAGGACTTGAGCTATTACCTGAGGGACGTGGGAGCCATGAGGGCCGTGGCCAGAGCAGGAACCTGCCCATTCGGTGCTCATCGCATCCTCTGGTGGCTACTGCCGGGAGGACAG